AGCAGGAAGTGTCTGGACACTGCAAACAAGATGTGTCTCACTTCTGACACTGACTGTGAACCTGAAGGATTCTGCGAATCAAAGCTCTGCGATGGGAATCCCTGTTGCAGGTACACATGAGCAGTCCAGCCATGCTGTTTCGAAGATTATATATCCTTATTCACTCATGACGTATGTTATCTTACCAGCTTCCCTTTCGTCTTCTTTGTTCCAGGCATCATCCTTGGTACTGTCACCATATCTTTGACTTAATCCTCACAGACCCCCTTGCGAGAGGCAGATTTGTCTTCATTTTTGAGATGAGCAAAGTGAGGCTCAGAGGAGTAACATCATTTGCTTCAGGTAGTGCAGTAGCAGGTGCTGGGGCTGGGTTAAACACGCTTGTCTGACAATAAGCTCGTGCTTTTTACCCGGTTGGATGGTGTCAACTCCTTTCATTCATTCATTCATTCATTCATCCCTCCATCTACCAACCACCAAGCAATGGAGAAGCACCTACAGAGACTAGGTACAGGGAATTCAAACACACAATCTTACTTGAGCAGATCTACAAATGGAAATTATTGTGACTTCCGGTTGGAGATTTGGATTTTTATGAGACCCTATGCCCACCAGACAGAAACTGAGAATCAAAGTATTTGAGAGCAAATAAGCATCATCATCGCCCTCAGGCACACTGTGGGCGTGGCGCCCTCGCCCAGCACCCCAGCCCCCTTACCATCTCCGGTTTTGCCTGGGTTGGTGGGTTCAGGGGTACTCAGAGGCCTCAGGGGAATGATGATCTCATCCACATTAACCCCCTCTTCTGCGTGCTTCTCAGAAACGTGGGAGAGGAGTTCCGACTGACTTGGTGAGAAAAGGTTACAACATTTACACATGAAGATGGCTGGGTTTTCTGTAAGGAAAAAAAGTGCAAAATATGTTATTTCATCTTCACCAAAACAATGACCACATCCAAATGCCAAAGAAAAATATTGAAGGTTGCTCTTCTGAGCAATTGCCAGGCACCAACAGGTGTGTCCTTCTGGTGGACGCTGCACGGCCAGGCAGCTCACTTCTAACTTCAGGTGGCCCCAGTTGCCAGAAAATTCTTTCTTTAAAATTCCAAAACCTCAGTCCTTCTGGACCATGTCTAATATGGACCTCCCTGTTACCCTAATCCACTCAAGAGCCTAGATTCGGGATTCACACAGCAAAGTAAAAAATGAATATGGAACTTGAAAATTAATGGAACCTTCAAATGAATGAACCACACTGACAACAATCAAGTATTCTAGTGAGACTCACTCAAATTAGGTGCAAGGAAAAAATGATCGAAACAGCACTTCTTAAGAGACAAGCACCTTTCACTGGCGGGCACAGGAACTAAGAACAAGAAGAATGGGAAGCTGTTGCTTTCTTAAGCCATTTAATTCCTATTTAAAGCATTACCACCGTTTACAAATATTTATTAACAGTCCATTCATCCCATTATACTAGGCAGGAAGACATATGGGGAAAGCCACTCATTTTTGAGTCCAATAAAATAATTACAGGCACGTAGGAATATTAAATTTAGGATCCAATAACAAAAGCTAGATTGTTTTTCCACATTTACACTGAAAGGAAGAATTGGTATGGCTTTGAAGGTTCAATTTCCAACTCCAGACCCTAAATGCTCTAAAGCTGGATGACCTCGGAGAGGCAGTAATGATCTCTCGGTTGCAACACTGAACAGGGCATGCAGATAACAAGTCTCTGCTGCAGAGGGAACCCAGGAGGCTCAGTAAGCCACGCCCGGATTCAGTGCAAACCTCCACCTACTCAGTGCTCTCGCCCGGCCGCTGTAACCGCTGAAAATCCACCCCACGCTGCCGGGCTCCCGACACGCACCACCGCCAGCCTCACGGGGACTGTTAACACGGCCTCGTGCAAGGCGTCGAGGCCACCGACTCTGCCAATGGCGAACAAGTCTATCGCGCCTCTTCCTCCCTCCTCGGCCCCGTGCTCACAGCCAGCTGCCGACTGACTTGCCATTTCACTGAAGCGGCCAGAAGACGGTGCCAGAGACTCCTGGAGCAGCCGCCCACCTGCCGCTCCTGCCAGGAGGAGAGGGGGCCCAGCAGCGGCACAGAAGGGGACTGAATGCGGCGCGGTTCACCCCGGGGCAGGCAGAATGCTGAACACGGTCCAGCAGCTCGTGGAGGTGAGAAAGCAGACCAGCACGGAAACGCTGCTGATGCGTTCTCACTTTCTAAAGACAACGCACCCCGAGCGCCTACACCTGGAAGACTGCTCGGCCGGCCCTCACCCGGGAAGGCACAAGACAAAGGGCAACGCCGGGGCTTCCCTGGTGGCGCAGTGGTTGAGAGTCCGTCTGCCGATGCAGGGGACACGGGTTCGTGCCCCGGTCCGGGGGGATCCCACATGCCGCGGAGCGGCTGGGCCCGTGAGCCATGGCCGCTGAGCCTGCGCGTCCGGAGCCTGTGCTCCGCAATGGGAGAGGCCACAGCAGTGAGAGGCCCGCGTACCGCAAAAAAACCCAAAAGGGCTACGCCGTGGCCCGTGCACTCCAAACCCCTGCCTCTCCCACCGCCTCAATGACATGTTCTCGAAACTCTGCTTCTCTTCAGTTTTAGTCAGAAAGTGGCAGAGGTACAATTCAGGGCCCAAGCATTTAAAGCCTAGTTATTCAGAAGAGGGGGGCTTCCGGGAAGATGGCGGAAGAGTAAGACGCGGAGATCACCTTCCTCCCCACAGATACACCAGAAATACATCTACACGTGGAACAACTCCTACAGAACACCTACTGAACGCTGGCGGAAGACCTCAGACCTCCCAAAAGGCAAGGAACTCCCCACGTACCTGCGTAGGGCAAAAGAAAAAAGAATAAACATAAACAAAAGGATAGGGACGGGACCTGCACCAGTGGGAGGGAGCTGTGAAGGAGGAAAGGTTCCCACGCACTAGGAAGCCCCTTCGCGGGCGGACACTGCGGGTGGCGGAGCGGGAAAAAAGCTTCGGAGCCGCGGAGGAGGGCGCAGCCACAGGGGTGCGGGGGGCAAAGCGGAGAGATTCCCGCACAGAGGATCAGGGCCGGAGACGGGCGCGAGCCGCGGCTAACAGCGCGGACCCCAGAGACGGGCATGAGACGCTAAGGCCACTGCTGCCGCCACCAAGAAGCCTGTGTGCGAGCAATTTTACTGTATCTTCTTTCTTTCTGTATTTTTTCCTTCCTTCCCTCATTCCTTCCTTCCTTCCCTCCTCCCTCCCTCCCTCCTTTCTTTCCTTCTTGCCTTCTTCCTTTCTTTTCTTCTTTCTTTCTTTCTTCCTTCCCTCCTTCCTTCCTTCCCTCCTCTCTTTCTTTCTTTCTTTCTTTCTTTCCTATTTCCTCCTACTTATACTAATTCTCTCTACTTTCTCTCCCTTTTATTCTGAGCCGAGTGGATGAAAGGCTCTTGCTGCTCCAGCCAGGAGTCAGGACTCTGCCTCTGAGGTGGGAGAGCCAACTTCAGAACACTCGTCAAGAAGAGACCTCCCAGCCCCACATAATATCAAACGGCGAAAATCTCCCAGAGATCTCCATCTCAACACCAGCACCCAGCTTCGCTCAACGACCAGCAAGCTACAGTGCTGGACAACCTATGCCAACCATATAGCAAAACAGGAACACAACCCCACCCACTAGCAGAGAGGCTGCCTAAAATCATAATAAGTCCACAGACACCCCAAAACACACCACCAGACGTGGACCTGCCCACTAGAGAGACAAGATCTAGCCTCATACACCACAACACAGCCACTAGTCCCCTCCACCAGGAAGCCTACACAACGCACTGAACCAACCTTAGCCACTGGAGACAGACATCAAAAACAACGGGAGCTACGAACTTGCAGCCTGCAAAAAGGTGAACCCAATCACAGTAAGATAAGCAAAATGAGAAGACAGAAAAACACACAGCAGATGAAGGAGCAGGATAAAAACCCACCAGACCTAACAAATGAAGAGGAAATAGGCAGTCTACCTGAAAAAGAGTTCAGAATAATGATAGTAAAGATGATCCAAAATCTTGGAAATAGAATGGACAAAATGCAAGAAGCAGTTAACAAGGACCTAGAAGAAATAAAGATGAAACAGACAATGATGAACAACACAATAAATGAAATGAAAAATACTCTAGATGGGATCAATAGCAGAATAAATGAGGCAGAAGAACGGATAAGTGACCTGGAAGATAAAATAGTGGAAATAACTACTGCAGAGCAGAATAAAGAAAAAAGAATGAAAAGAACTGAGGACAGTCTCAGAGACCTCTGGGACAACATTAAACGCACCAACATTCGAATTATAGGGGTTCCAGAAGAAGAAGAGAAAAAGAAAGGGACTGAGAAAATATTTGAAGAGATTATAGTTGAAAACTTCCCTAATATGGGAAAGGAAATCGTTAATCAAGTCCAGGAAGCACAGAGAGTCCCATACAGGATAAATTCAAGGAGAAATACGCCAAGACACATATTAATCAAACTGTCAAAAACTAAATACAAAGAAAGCATATTAAAAGCAGCAAGGGAAAAACAACAAATAACACACAAGGGAATCCCCATAAGGTTAACAGCTGATCTCTCAGCAGAAACTCTACAAGCCAGAAGGGAGTGGCAGGACATACTGAAAGTGATGAAGGAGAAAAACCTGCAACCAAGATTACTCTACCCAGCAAGGATCTCATTCAGATTTGATGGAGAAATTAAAACCTTTACAGACAAGCAAAAGCTGAGAGAGTTCAGCACCACCAAACCAGCTTTACAACAAATGCTAAAGGAACTTCTCTAGACAAAAACACAAGAGAAGGAAAAGTCCTATAATAACGAACCCAAAACAATTTAGAAAATGGGAATAGGAACATACATATCGATAATTACCTTAAATGTAAATGGACTAAATGCTCCCACCAAAAGACACAGATTGGCTGAATGGATACAAAAACAAGACCCATATATATGCTGTCTACAAGAGACCCACTTCAGACCTAGAGACACATACAGACTGAAAGTAAGGGGATGGAAAAAGATATTCCATGCAAATGGAAACCAAAAGAAAGCTGGAGTAGCAATTCTCATGTCAGACAAAATAGACTTTAAAATAAGGACTATCAGAAGAGACAAAGAAGGACACTACATAATGATCAAGGGATCGATCCAAGAAGAAGATATAACAATTGTAAATATTTATGCACCCAACATAGGAGCACCTCAATACATAAGGCAAATACTAACAGCCATAAAAGGGGAAATCGACAGTAACACATTCATAGTAGGGGACTTTAACACCCCACTTTCACCAATGGACAGATCATCCAAAATGAAAATAAATAAGGAAACACAAGCTTTAAATGATACATTAAACAAGATGGACTTAATTGATATTTATAGGACATTCCATCCAAAAACAACAGAATACACATTCTTCTCAAGTGCTCATGGAACATTCTCCAGGATAGATCATATCTTGGGTCACAAATCAAGCCTTGGTAAATTTAAGAAAATTGAAATTGTATCAAGTATCTTTTCCGACCACAACGCTATGAGACTAGATATCAATTACAGGAAAAGATCTGTAAAAAATACAAACACATGGAGGCTAAACAATACACTACTTAATAACGAAGTGATCACTGAAGAAATCAAAGAGGAAAAAAAAAATACCTAGGGCTTCCCTGGTGGCGCAGTGGTTGAGAGTCCGCCTGCCGATGCAGGGGATGCGCGTTCGTGCCCCGGTCTGGGAAGATCCCACATGCCGTGGAGCGGCTGGGCCCGTGAGCCATGGCCACTGAGCCTGCGCATCCAGAGCCTGTGCTCCACAACGGGAGAGGCCACAGCAGTGAGAGGCCCGCGTACCGCAAAAAAAAAAAAAACACA